GAGAGCTGTCACTGGCAGAGAAATAACCCTAATCCTCCCGTTTCATAGTTGTATTAAGCAAAGACATCTGCAGCCTTGCTCGCCACCTTTTCTCCCTCCTCCAGCCACCAGTGTTAGGAGAATGAAAAGAATCCAGTGACCAGGGTCAATTTGAATTTAAAGCTGCATATTCTTGTATTGAAGTAAATTCTGGTTTGTGCTACCATGAGATAGAGCAGTTATGTTCAATCTTGTTGGACATGAGTATGTTTAAGAGGGTTATGCTGAGTCTTCTCCCAGTTCACACTTGTCTGTGTCTTTTCTCTTTTGAGTGTAGAGCTCCCTCTAGTACATTTTTCAAGACTCCCATCATGGAAAATACCTGATATGAAGCTGGAGAACATTAGCATGCTTTAAAAGTAGAAACATCTGCTAAACTAATAGGCACTTTTGTTTTTAATTCAGCAAAAGAGTTGTTTGGCTCTATATTTAACACCAGATGCACTGTAATATGTAGGATGAACTGGGTTTCTGGGCCATGGAATTCAAAAATAATGTGCTGTCCAGTTTGGCTGGTAAAGTTAGTGGCTGTTGCACATGCATTGCAAATAAAACTGGTTCCAAAACTTGAAGGCAGAGAAAACGCTAACCATAACCCTGAAAGCATTGTTGCCAACATGGCATGAATCTTTAAATGGCTTTGTGAATAGACAGAGCTTCAGCTCAGTTGAAAAACTCTCATTTCAGTGACTTATTTAACAAATTAAACCAGTATGTTCCTGTGTCCCCAGTTACAGAGAACTCATTCAGTGTTGGCACAAACTCTGCTGTACTGCCTTGTGCCCTGCTGTTTCCATTGTCTCTGTGCAGTTCTTTCTTGGCTTCATTTAAACCCCTAAAATAAAGATGAAGTAAACAGCAAAACAGAATTCCAGACACCGACTCCTGAACTAGATGGAAACATGGAGATGCTGAATAAAGCTATGACAACACAGAGTCTACCTTAAAACAAAAAACCCACAGAGCCAGGCTTCAGGCCAAACAGGCTGGAATTTGCCTCCAAATTGTAGCAAACTCTCTGGAATGTTTCCTGGGTGTAACCTATCACATTCCCAGCTGTTGTCTGGGAGTAATTACAATAATTTGATATGATGGGATTCTGCATGCTATATGTTGGAATGGTTTGGGTTTTTTAAAAACAGTTTTAAAACACATTTCCACTTGAAATTCAGGAGGAAAATAAATCATAAGAGGAAAACCAACCTGCAACTTCAAAGAGTGTAGTACAAATGCTTAGGAGTATGTGAGCATCACTTAAATGTGCTTTGTTATAAAAGAGGTGTAAAATAACTAACTCTCCACAATACTTGGGAGTATATGGCTTATACATGTTCTAACGTGCAGTGAGAAACAATGTACAGCGTAAAGAGCAATTCCAGTCATGTGAGCAAATTGGTTGCTGCAAACTCCATATCTAAATATCGGACTGATTCCAAAGATTGGGCTTGTATTTTCCACTATGTCTGAATAAAACTGAGTTTCCAGATATCAGCCAACAAGGAAACAAAAGTCTAGAATATTAATATGGGTATTAGGCCTACCATTGTTTTCCTTTAACCAAGATATAGTATTTTGAAAATTAACAGTACTGGGAAATTCATGTATGTGCTGATGGTGGATTTTCCTTTGATATGCGAGTAAGGCTGACTAATTTCCTGTTTGCAAACATTTTGGAAAGCTCTTCTCCTGCTTCCCGTCACAGGAGGTTACTACTTGACAAGCGCCTATGGAGCACTTTCTTTGATCAAGAATTTCCAGGAGGAACAAGCTGCCCGTTTGCTAAGTTCAGAAGCTAGAGATACCCTCCGACAGTGGCATAAGAGGAGAACAACTAACAGAACAATACCTTCAGTTGATGACTTTCAGGTATGGCACAGGGCAAAACAGTCAGCTGTGGCTGTGTCTGGGTCAGTGCCACAAAGAAAAGAGCCATAAGAAAAAGGGTTACTGCTTCCTGATTCTCACTGGAGCTCTTTCCTAGCCCTGGTACATCTGAGAGCAGCCTAGAAATTGTTCTAATCTAAACCAGTTGGCCCTCACTCAGTCACCACCATACTGCATACTACAGTGTTCTCAACCTTTTTGGATTCAAGACCCCCTTCACTGGACTCAAGACAGCCCCCCATTACTTTTATGAATGAAGTGGCACCCAATTTCAAAAACTTTCATATGTTACAGTGCTTACCTTCATGCAGAAGTGCTGGGCAGTGGGGGTAGGAGATTGGTCAGACAAACCTGAGCCTCTGTTTCTGTTTATCTCCTCACACCTCACATCACCCTTCAAAGGATCTGGTGGCACCCTGGTTGAGAATCACTTACTATACTGGGAGTAGCATAGGACCTGTTACACCACTGGTAGGCCCTTCAGAGATGACCCCAGGTTGGGCAAATCTCTAGCTAGAAAGATGCAGTTAGTTCGCTCCATTTGAGGTATACAAGGAATTACTGTATTTCACAGTGTGTAACTTGAGGTTTAGAGCCAAAGTATTTACCTTTAAATTTCCACCTTGACTTATACACTGCATCAATACTTTTGACCCTCACCCCAGCACCACTCTGGCCCAGTCCTGGCCAAATCCCAGCCCGGCCCTAACCTGACCCAACCTTCTTCACCTACCGACAGCGTCCCTGTTGCTGGAGGCCATGGGACCCAGGCCCAGTTTAAGTGCAGCCTACAGGCCTGGCTGTCACCATGGAGATGCTGCTAGGCTGGGCACTAAGCCCAGCCCCATCTCCTGTGAGTGGCACTGCCTGGGCTGCACCAGCCAAGCACCAGGCCCAGCCCTGTTCTCTGTGAGTGACCCCGGGCTCGGCACTTGGCTGGCATGTCCCCATCCCCTGCAAGCAGCGTCGGGCTTGGCACTCGGCTGGTCTGGCTCAGACAGCACCGCTCGCAGGAGATGGGGCCATATCAGCCAAGCTCCAAACCCGGTCCCATCCCCTGCAAGCAGCACTGCCGCAAGCAGCTCTGAGCCTGGTCCCATCCTTTTCGAGTGGTGCTGCAGCATGTGTCCACCCGCCAGGTGCCTGGCCCACAGTGAGGGTGCACCGGGGCCGGTATAAGTTGACCCCATATTTCTGATCCAAAAAGTTAGGTCGACTTATACACCGGATGTATGAAACTCCTAACTTTTTTTGGATCAGAAAAATGGGGTTGACTTATGCACCATGTTGACTTGTACACCATGAAATATGGTAAGTAGGACCCAACATATGACCCAAACCACTTTATTCAGTTCAACAGCACTCACATTTCACTATACAGTTGAATTACAAGATGGCCTGGAAAAAAAATCAGCTGAAGGGGCTTAATTTTTTCATCCATTTATTTAAGGACTGAGGCTGGCAAGTATGCTTCATCTCCATTTGATTTAACTTCTCTATTGGCTTTCCTGTAACAAACTGTACGGGCTCAGATTCTCAGCTGGTTTAATTCAGTTCTAGTCCATGGAACACAGTGTCAGTACACCCAGCTTTATAGCAGCTGGGGAGCTGGCAGAAACTGGTTTAAAGCTTAAGTAATAAGGTGAATTCTGCACTTTGGGCCTTCTTCCCTTCTTTGCTACCTATCCTTTCAGCTTAGAAAGGTGGCTTCCCCTGCAGAATAACTCATTTAAGTGTTTGTCAGGATATTTCTGTGAGTCCTTACAGAAATTGTGGTGCACAATAGTACTGTCCAGTCAGATTCTTCTTGCAAATCACACTGGCAGACTATTTGCCTAGGTTCTGTAAAAACTTGAATTTCTTTCTGTGTCAGATATACCTCTTAAGGTTTTCCATTTACATACATAATTGCTTACGTAGTCATTGTCTGAAACATCCTTGTTTTATCCCATCTTGTGAATATTTTACAGCAACAGCTTGTCTTTGCAGAATAGACCCAACAGGAAAAGTACATTTTTTTCCTCAGTTCTTTTCTCCCTCTTCATCAGGTTTTTCCTACTTCTGACTATCTTTTGTGGACTTTCTTCTTCTATTCATTTTGTGAGCTACTTATCTGAATTGCCCTAAACTCAAAAACATTTGTTCTACCATTCTTTCCCACCTCAATGTATTCCTTTAAGACAAACACACAATTATTATTTGGCATCTCCATTTATACATAAAAGACTAACTTTGGTAATTTTGTTCAGAGTCAGGAAGCTCTTGAGGGAAGCAGCACATCCACTCTGCATGTTAAATCCCCTTTATAATAAGGCCAAGACTTTAAAAATAAGCATCTAAAATGTATATGCTAGGTGAAATGGACCCCAAACTGGGCTCAGTATTCCAGGTAAACCTCACCAGTGCTGAATAGAGAGGGAGAATCACTTCCCTTGATTTGCAAGTGTTGCTCCTGTTAATACAACCTAGTATGCTGTTGGCTTTTTTCTGCAACAAGAACCTGTTGTTGGCTTATATTCAGCCTATGGTTGACTCTGCTGCAACACTCGGCTTGCTGTCTGCAGTACTGTAGCCTGGGAAGCCATTTCCCAGTCACTATGGGCATGTCCAGATGAGCGTGGATGTTTGGTTCCCTGAGGATAATTAGTAGCGATGCACTTTGTGATGCCGCTACTTGTCCCCGGGGAATGCCCATGCCACGTGTACTTTGGCGCACAGCAGGTTACCCTGGGTGGTGTAGGGGAAGCGGGGCCAGCACTGGACTGGCCCCAGCAGCCTTACCTGGGGGCCTCCCAGGGCTGCAGCAATGGCGATTGTGCTGCATGGAGCCTGGCCAGCAGCTGGAGCGTGGCTCCAGGTGACCTGGCTCTGCTTTTGAGCAGCGTGTACTGCCTGTGTGTGCACTGCTCTGTTTTTTTTCCTGTGGGTTTTTTTGACCCCTGGATATCCAGGGGTCAAAAAAATTGCAGGGAAAAAGGTGGAGCAGCATACGCATGGGCAGCACGCCCTTGCAGTGTGGTGAACATCTAAATATACAGTATGTGGCACCACAAATGTGTCTGTGGTGCCACATACTGCGCTGCTGCACCCATCTGGACACAGCCTATTTGTCCATCCAGTTATTCTGTCTGAAGTACAAGACTTTGCACTTGTCCTTGTTGAATCTCATCAGATTGATTGTGGACCATTTTTTTCAGTCTATCCAGGTCATTCTGGATCTTAGTCCTACCTTCCTAAGTCTCTGCAAGTCCACCCAACTTGATGTCATCTGCATATTTGCTAAGCATGCACTTAATGAAGATATTAAATGAAAGTGGAACCAGGAGAGACCACTGGGGAATGCTTCTTGATACCTCCTCCCAGCTAGACACTAAGCCATTCATTATTGGCTACTCTTTCAGTATGATGATCCAACCAGTTATGTACCCATCATATAGTACTTTCATTTAGCCTGTATTTCCTCAGCTTGTTAATGAGAATGTTGTGGGAGACAATGTCAAAAGCCTTGCGAATGTCAAAGTATATCACATCCATTGCTCTCCTCCATCCACAGATCCTGTCACCTTATCTTAGAAGGAAATCATTTTGGTCTAGCCTGACTTGCTCTTGGTGAATCCTTGCTAGCTATTCCTGGTCATCACCTTGTTCTTCTATAGGTGCTTCACAACAGATTCCCTGAGGATGTACTCCATTATCTTTTGCTCTTTTACTTTAATGGTCACTGGGCATGTCTACACAAGACACTTACTGCCTAATAACACTGCACAGTACCGTGCTGGTCAAAAAACATGCTAATAACGCTACTATCCAATGTTATCAGGCTACTGTGCAGTAAGCATCACAAACAATCTGTGTGCCAGTGCTACTGCACAGTAACCATACTTACTGTGCATTTAATTAGTACTTCATTAGTACTTTACTTAGTACTACACCTTGCTTGAATAATTTAACACCTTACTGGGATCATTTGATCTGAGCTGTGTTCCTGCCCAGAGCAGGGGGGTTGAACTTAGTGATCTTACAAGGTCCCTTCCAGCCCTTAATTTCTATGATTCTATGATTCATTAAGCAAGTACTAAACTAAATGCGCAGTAACTACTGCACATTAATGCACATGTAGATGTGCCCACTGTCATTCAAGTTACCTTCCACCTTCACATCCTCAACCATTTCCTCCCTGTTTCTGAGCAACAAGTTGAGAAGAGCTTCTTCCCCCCTTGTTGACCTATCTACCACTCATACCACAAAGTTGCTCCCAACCCACTGCAGGAATTTGCTGGATTGCTTGTGTGCTGCTGTGTTTCCCACCGAGCAGATGTCCCAATAATTAAAGTCTTCCATAATAAGTAAGTCCTGCAATTTGGAAGCTTCTGTCAGTTGCTTAAAGAAGGCCTCAGCCATCTCCTTCTCCTGGTTTGGTGGCCTGTAGCAGATGCCCACCATGACATCTCCTCAACTGCTTTCCTTTCTGATATTTACCCAAGAGGCTTTCAACAGGCCTACCTTCCACTTCCTACTGCCCCTCAGAACATGTGTTCATCTCCTTTTTATTTAAGGCAACACTTCCTCCTTTTTTCCCTCGCCTTCCCTTCCCTACCTGGACAAGCTATATCCATCCCATGACAACATACTCTAGTCATGTGAACTATCCTACTGTGTCTTCATAATCCCAATTACATCATAATCCTGAGATTATACTAGGACTTACAGTTTTTCCTGGTTGTTCCCGTATTATTTACATTAGTATCTAAACATTTCAGGTATCTGATTTTCTTATTTTCTCCCTGAGGACATTTACTAAAGCTTCTGCTACTGCTTTCCCTCTCTGAGTGTTTATCTGAATCCCTTGGCTCTTTACTTACCTTTTGGACTTTTATCTCCGTCCCCTGGTGTATCTAGTTTAAAGCCCTCCTAAATTAGCTAGCCTATATGCACAGACACTCTTCCCTTTCTTTCAGGTGGACCCCATCTCTTCCCAAGAGTCCATCTTCTTGGAACACCAACCTATGGTTGAAGCCAAAGCCCTGCAGGCAACACCATCTATGCAACCATGTGTTGATCTCCAGGATGCATCTGCTCCTAGCCAGGCCTTCACCTTTGACTGGAAGAATCAGTGAGATCATCTGGGCCCCTTCACCCTTGTGCCCAGAGCCACGTAGTCACTTTTGATCTACTTAAAGTCACGCCGGCAGTATCATTAGTGCTTACATGAAATGAGCAGCATGGGGTAGTAGTTAGAGAGCTGGGTGAGTCTTGGCAGTCTTTCCAAGATGTCTCAGAGGCAGCATACTGGCAGGCAGCAGACCTCTGAAACCAACAGGTCAAGCCAGCAGATGGATGCCTCTGTGCCCCTCAGGAGGGAGTTGCCAACCATTACCACCTGTCATTTATTTACTGTGGCACTGGAAACTGTAGTAGGGAGGTATGAGAAAGTTCCTATACCCAGGAGCTGCTGGCCGCACTGATACCTCTTCACACAGCAGCAGCCATTTCCTTCTTGGTTCATGTCACAAACCCTACCAACTACCTCTCTGCTATTCAGATATATCACCTGCTGGACTGAATTAATGGAAACATGAACATGGAAGAGAGAATATCCACTGAAAGGATCCTGTAGTTTTAGATTTTTACAGTTTGCATCATAGCTGCAAAACTCACCAGATGGGTTGAGGTTGATAATCAAAGGAACAGTGCGTAGCCAAGGTCTAAGAAGGGAGAGAGAACAGTGAAAGCATTTCATTCGAGGCAGCTTTGATCTTTTCTTTCTGCCCTGCACAGTAGCTTTTGCTGCTAAAAATTAAGGTTGAACATGGAGAGGACTGGGAAAGGAAGTGGTTTTAGCCAGTGTGTCTTTTTGTAGGACCATCAGTGAGCTTAGACAGTTCACCAGAACCACTGAATGGATTTATTTTGTTCGTGGGTCTTAATTTCCCCGTACTTACATGAAATCTTGGTGTAGCTTTATCTACCTCTCCTTTTAGCAAATTCTTGCACTTTACCTTGCAGTCCTTTTTAAGGAACACCTACTAGTCTTCCTTTATCTTCTGTGAAAAATGTTATCTCATGACAGTGCTGTCAAAAGCTGAACTTTGTGCTATCTGGTCTTCCTCTGCAGTCAGATCAAGTGGGTCATACAACTGGACATCACGCTGAACGGAGGTCCTGACAAAAAATAAATAAAGATTGGCACTGCATATGAATGACCACTACTTCCCTGTCTGTGTGCTTTCTCCAAACAGTTTTGAACTACTGTGATCACCCCCTGCCAGGCCACAGCTGGGAGAATTCATGCACTCAGCTGCCTAATAGAGATGCCAGAATTCCCCAGCTCCTTTCTCCACACGCTACTTCCATGAAATAAAATACTGCCCCTAGGCCAGACATACAAAGCCATACCAGATGCTTTGAATGGTTACATTACTCCCCCAGCCCAGCTAATCTTCACCAGGTTTCACCATAACACCAGTTTACCACTGTGTTTTTATACTCTATGGTAACAGCCTTAATACTAAAGAGAAAGAAAAAAAAAGCTTCATGGGAAAGACCCTTTGGAGCTTCTCCAAAGTCTAGCTTCTTCTTAAAGCAGCCGTGTCAATTTAAAATCACATTTGTTTAAAGAAGAAATGTCTACTTGTGTTAACAACAACTTAAATTATTCAGACTAAAGAAAAATTAAATCTTGAATTTCCTTTTCCGTAATTGTGCAGCCTGCTTTATGTTTTCACTTAGGTTAGGTAGTGGAAATGTTAGGCTAGTTTTCTATTTGCTCTTATGTTCATGCTCAGTGCAGGAGGCACTAACACAAAGCTTCAGTGCTTGGGCTGCACACACTACTGGAGAATATTGAAGTAAGTAAAAAATATTCATTGGAATATTTTCCAAAGCCATACAGACATTGCCATTGATCACTGCTTTTAAAAACTTGTATTTGCAAAATGCAAATTTTCATTCATATGCGACTTGCCTCTCTTAATGATTCATTTCACTTAGTCTGCCTTCAGAAGCTGGTCTCAGCTGCAATTCTCACTTAATAACCTATTCTGTCTTGTTACTACCCTCTGATTCTTTTAGTCTTTTCCCTTTCTTTTTCCTTCTCTCCCCAAACCCATCTCCCAGATCCTTTTTCTTTTTCCTTGTGGAAGCTCTCTGTTCCAGACTTTTTTTTCTTTCTTGTGTCCAAAATGTGGATGTTATTTTTAAGTTTCCTTTTATTTTACTCTCCTAAAGCTGATTGGAAGGCACAGGCATTATAGTTCTTCTGCTGTTAAAGTATTTAGCATTTATATGTATCGTACAGTGTCACTTTTTCCTCACTTTGCAGAGAGGAGAAAAATATCCAAACCCCTATATCAGAATTATATAGATTCATTCAACTACCACATTTCCAAGCCTCTTATAGGGGGAAAGAAAAAACCACATTATATTCACTGGGTAGCTTTTGATTAAGTCAGTATTTTCCTAAAGCTTCAGCCATGCAGCCTATCATGGCAGCATGTTTTGAATGTACTGCTGTGGCTGTATATTTTGCTTGTCAACATTACGACACATCTTGCTTGCCAGCAAAGTCTGTGTGGAGTCCCATGGCAATCACTGGGCTCTGTACTGGGATGGCAGCCTCAGCCACAGCAGTTCCAATTGCAGAACAAGTCCTCAAGCACTGAATATAAGATTGAAGTTTGCTGAGTTCTTGTCCGGGGCGTCACATGGTTTCAGTCTCATCAGCAGTATCAGTTTCAAGTCATCACTTCAAGAAAGTTGAAGTCATAGTGTGTTTCACAATTAAAGCATGATGACATTTGCTGCTTGCTTAATGACCTTTCAGGCTGCTGGAGCTAAAATAAAGAATTTCATTCTTTCTTCAAGTCTGTAATTTGACACTGGGTTTCTAACATCTGTTTTGCCTTGCTTTACAGAATTACCTCCGAGTTGCATTCCAGGAGATTAACAGTGGCTGTACAGGAAAGACCTTATTAGTAAGACCGTATATCACTACAGAAGATGTGTGTCGGCTCTGTGCTGAAAAGTTTAAAGTGGACACCCCAGAAGATTATAGCCTTTTTCTTTTTATTGATGATACTTGGCAGCAACTAACAGAAGATACCTACCCTCAGAAAATTAAGGCAGAGCTGCACAGCCGTCCGCAACCCCAGGTTTTTCACTTTGTCTATAAACGCATTAAAAGTGATCCTTATGGTGCCATTTTCCAGAATAACAATGGCGACGATGAGGACAACGACTCCACTTCATAGAGCAGATGCTTATTGTTCAGCCTTTATTCCTCATTACATTGTTGAAAAACATCTTGGCTGCTGCCTTCTTTAGTAGGTAAAACAGTCTAGAGGGATTTAGAAATAAATGCCTAGTAAGAACATAAGCAGCTGCTTTTAGCACTGCCTATAGCAAATATACATGTAATACTTATGGCCAGTTGTACAGTATATTCAGTCACAGTGTTTGAGTAAACAGCCCATGAAGCTAAGGTTTTTGGAACAAAAATTCTTCTAAAAAATATAACGCTGTGGCCCTCTACAGGTCTCTGTCTGTAGTGTACTGAAATCCAGTTTCATCATACTTCTCCTTTAGCCAAATGTTTTGATTTAAATGTGTATGCTAGACAAACCTTTTAGGGGAACCTACCTGGTACACTTCATTTCACCAGCACAAGTGTGACAAGACTGTCCGATGCAGGGCATCAATTAACTCTCAACTACATGGATGGTTGCTGCATCCTTTTCTAATTTTTTTTTTTTTTTTTTTTTTTTTTTTTTTTTTTTTTACAGAAAGGCTCCATGTTTTTATATATTTCATAGAAATTTTATAGCAGTTGCAGGTAAACTGTCAGGGTTGGTTTTTAAAATATTTTTTTAACTATAAAGTATTCTATAATTATGCATGTGATTTTAACATTTAATATACAAGAATAAATCTCTTGCTGGTCTTAGAGTATTGCATTAAAAGTCTCTGGTTTCTCTTTTGCTGTAACTGGAGGGTTTTATGAAACTTCCTTTGTTTTGAGATTGCTGTGTTTCTGTAAGCAATGTATATCATTGACACTGGCCACTTAAATGCCTTTATATGAACCTGACATACTGTTATCCGAACTATTGTTTCTATGCACCAGTTTTAGACAAACATACAGGCGTTCGGAAAAAAGAGATGAAAGAAATGGATGTAGAGAAAAGGTAGAGAAGGTAGATAACCTATTTTAGGAATAGAATGTGTTAGTCTGCTGGTTCAGGCTTCTTGCAGAAAATGGGGGAAGGAGATTGAGAAGGAACTGTTTCATGTCTCGAATACTAGAGATAAGCAGATGGATTTGAAAATACCTATCCCAGATATTAAGCACAGGATTAAAAACACCAATAAAGTGAAAGAGAACACTAACCATTTTATAGAGAATGACGATAGCAACATTGAAATACATTTTTGGCAAAAGCAAAAAAACTGTTGTAGCTTTTGATAAGTCAGAAATACTGCTGGATGTGGGAGACTATAAAGACACACAAAAGTCAGTGCCTTTATATATAGAAAGCTAAAATGAAATTAAATGTGTACGTTCTGTAAAAATCTGTTTTAAGATGATAAATTCTGTGGTTAAATCCCATGTATGTGGAAGTCAATGGGGGTTTTGCTATCGATTTTAATAGGGCAGGATTTCACCCTAGGTTCTTGTAGCAGTGTAATTTAAGGCAGGTGGTTACAAGAACACAAGTCTTGAACTTGAAAGGATGTGTATGTGTATTGCATATGTAAAGGTCTGTACCTTCTTAATGTTGGCTTGCCACATATCTGAAATCCTTGGCACATGTTTGTGCTGTATTTCATTTTGTAAATGATAAACAATGAGTTTTGCACATAATACATTGTAATACTGAATGATAACCAAGGGTAATGAGTGCTTTTTTTAAATAGTTTGCGTGTTGATTTTTGTCTGTCATAATACAAATCTTGTGCCATGCATAGCCCAACCTATCTTGGTTTGTTGGAAAATATGGAGTGGGAAGTATACCCGAGTCTATATAAAATAGTGCTATGAGGAAAAGTTGAACATGTGGAGCATTTTCTAGTTCCAGTAAAAATGAAAGACTGCTTCCTTTAGTAAAATCAAAAAGAAATAATCAATTTTGATACTAGCAGCATTAGTGATATGCCTGAGTTAGGGAGCCTGGTTCACCATCCAGTTTCTTCCTCTGAGCAAGTATGAGCAGGACTGAGACAATGTCACTGTACGTTGTGTTAGACCTTAACCCTGTCCTAAGTTCTTAGAATAATGTGCACTTGAAGGTGTCATCTGTGGTTTTTGGTACGGTTGCCTTGAATGAGCTAGCTGTTCTCCACAACACATAATGACTTAAAATAGTGTGAGAAGGAGGCTGCTAACTTCATTGCTCAACTGTTTTTTGCAAAGTTGCGAGTGACTTCGGCTTCAGAGGAAATTCGGCATTGTCCTCATTGGCTAGCAGCTGTGGCATGATATGGAGAGTGTGAGAAAAATTGAGAAACCTCAGAACTTCAAATCTGCAGAAAGGCAAAAAAAGGGGGGGGGGGCCGAAAAGAGGGAAATACATGTCCAGCCCTTCTTGAGATGATTGTGCTGCACAATTTGCACAACTATGTTTTGAAAAATTGGAACACAACTTTGTTTTGTCTCCATTGCCCTCACAGTGCACAGAGTTCTCACTTCTCATAAGGCCAGGAAACAGATGACAGCAAGATTTTGGAGGGAGAGTTAAAACAAGTTGTTTCATTTTTGTGGGAGGAAGAAAGGAATGTATTATGAAACAGTCACAGATTAGGAGAGAGGTTTTCCAAGAAGTTGTATCTAGAATATATCTAACATTTTGCAAGAGGCAAGGATTTCTTAGAGTGATATCTTTTACTGGACCAGCTATGTCATTGAGATAAGGACAAGTTTTGGACGGCAAGGCATTCTTCTTACTAGGTTATGGATTTTCCATTATAAATGGAGGCTTTCAGTCTCTTCTGTGGGAGCAGAAAGAATGCCTTGCCTTTGAAAGGTTGTGCAACTTGATTGGACCAACTACATAGTTGAGAATAAAAGCTGTCACCCTAAAAAACCCTTGCTTGCTCCTCACATTTATTTCTTGACCATCAGAGCTCCACCATCACTCTTCTATGCTGCTACAACTTCAGTTTTGAATTCTAACGTTCTGTCTTTGTTTTCTCTTCTGGTTTGAAGAAGTGGCCAGAGAAGAGTTGGAAATAAACTGGAACCCTTGGGAGGTTTAATTCCTCCCTCTAATAATCCAAAAAACCCAACCCAACCCAACCCTATAGAAACGCTATATAACCTATAAAAAGTCCATAAACCATAGACTATAAAACAGTCATATGTTAAGTGCACACACACACTAACTATATTGGACCAACTATATATATAAAGAGGCTGAGTCTGTCTTTCTGTGCATCTATCTGTAATGCTCTTGTGGGGTGTGGCTCCAGCTAGTGCTGTGTCAAGTACGCCTGTCAAGAATGATGGGGGGGTGGGGAGAGTGGGAGGGCAGCACCATCACCCACCACCCTGCGCTGCTGCTGCCTCCTAGGAGTGGGGGGAGGGGGTGGAGCTTGCATTCAGCAACTGCCCCATGTCTGGCCATATGCAAGCTTCCACCCCCCCCACTCCTGGGATGTGGCACGGGGTGGTGGGTGGTGGCGCTTCCCTCCCCCCCTGTCATTCTTGGCGGTCAATTTGCGTGCGTGTGTGCGTGTGTGTAAAAATAAATAAAAAAATATATACTATATGATATAGTGCAGACTTGTCCAACATGTGGCCCACCCAGCCATTTTCTCTGGCCCAAGGTCCCTTGCTCAGGACAGGCAAGGAGTCCTGGTGCCTGCTCCACACTCCATGGCGGCAGCGGTGAGGTGAGGCAGGCAGGGCCGGCCTGTAGGCCCTAGCCGGCAGCGAGGGGAGTGGAGCTGCTTACCCCCGCGGGTCTGGGCTCATCACGCGAGCTGGGTCCCACCGCTGCTGCCCCAAGGGCTGCACAGCATGGGGCTGCCCCAGCCACACCTGACTGGACGAGCTGGGCAGTGCCTGTGACCTCTCTTCTGACTCTGCCCGTTGCCCCCGGTGTGTGGCCGTGGGAGCTGCGCCATGGCTTGCACCCTGCCCACGTGTGTGGTGGACAGAGGCACCGGGTAAGGCCCTGCGTGGAGCTGGGGGCGCCTCAGGGTCGGGCCAGGGCTGTCGGGTGTGCGGTTGTTGGAGCCAAGCTGAGTGTGAGGCAGGAGGAGCCTGGCCCAGAGGCGCTCTACACAGAGGGTGGCGCAGTGTTACCTGGCTCTCAGCTGCAGAAGGGCCACCCAGTGCCAGCGTTGGTATGCGGGGCAGCGGCTGCGGTGCCTGCTGCCGTTGCTGAAGAAGAGCCGGAGGGAAGAGCCTGGTGCTGCACAGCCCAGGCAGGACTTGCTGCCGCTTCCTCCGGCGGCCTCACCTCAGCCCAGGGCAGGAGCTGGCTGCTGCAGGTAGGGCCTGTATGGGCACAGCCAAGGGGGCACAGGGGCTCAAAAGGTAAAAAATAAAAATTAATACAAGGTTGCACTAGAAAGGGCTCAGCTGGAGGAGATTAGAGAACAATGCAGGGAAGCCAGGGGCATCCCTGACCTTTTGCCTCCCCCTCCAAGGCAGTGTCCACAGCCACCAGGGCAGCAGAACAGGCACCCTTCTGTCTCAGATGCTTTGTGTGGTACGGGCAAGAGGTCTCAGCCACCTCCACCTTTAAAAAATAATAATAGGATACAAAACTCTGAGGAACTTGGGCCAAGGCAGCCAGAAGGGGGTTAGATACGGCCTGCTGAGCCCCTGATTCCAGCTTGTTTCTTTCCAAGCAGTGAGTGTCTGGGAGAATGGGTTTGGGCAAAATGTGGCCAGGGCACCAAGCAGCACCCAAGGCCTGCCCCCTTTCCCTACAAAGCTGCCAGGCCAACAAGGGAGGAATGCCAAAATAGCTTGCTGCTGTAACCTAAGTGTTTATCTTAGTCCAGTGTTTGGTATTATTTCATTGTTGCTTTTATATTGTTTTTATTTTGGATTTTAAACCACATTTCCAGACCCATTTCATTGTCACTTCCTGAAAATTCATTGGTGTCAAAGGTCACGTGACATCACTTCCTGAAGCGATACCACTTCCTGTGAGGTCTTTGAATATGGTTCGCTGGCCCACTGGGTGATAAAAAGTTTGTGATCCAGCCCCATATTCAAAAAGGCTGGACACCCCTGATATAGTGCAATGGTTCTCAACCTTTTTTGTACCAAGACCCATTTCTCAACGTCAGTGGCCAGTCCTGACCCAGGGACCCTCACGCCTGACCTGCTGCCCACCCCCAGTCACAGCCCTCCAAGTGTGTGGGCAGGGGTGGGGTGTGTAGGGCAGGGGGGCCCCTCAAACAGCCCCTTGCAAGCTGGACCTCTGCCAGCCTGCAAGGGAAAAGCCACTGCTTCCCACGTTCTTCTCCTTTAAAGGAGAATCCATTTTTAAAGTTTGTTCGTGACCCTTTCCTATATTCTTGTGACCCATAGGTTGAGAAATGCTGATATAGTGTATATGTGTGTTTATATACACACCATACATATATACATATATAGCTACATATATTAATTTTGTCCTTCTCAGGCAAAGATCACCACATCCAGTGGGGTGGGGGAAGAAGAAAGAAAAGAAGTGAGAAAGAAAAAGGGAGGGAGAAAAGAGAAAGGGGGAAAAAAAGGAAAAAGAAGAAAGAGAAAGCAGGGGGGCGGGGGCTAGGTTGTATGGGTATGTAGGTGACTTAAAAGCAGGGATCGGGGTTTTCTGTTTCCCATGGAAAAACAGAGAAAACCATGGATTTCCCCTTTTAGCAGAGAAACCCACAGATTCCCTGCTTTTGCAAACAGCTCTGCAGGCTGGCTGAGCTCCAGCCTGCAAAAGCTGTTTGCAAACAGGGCAGGCAACCCCAGCTCTGCCCGAAGGGGTAGGGTGAGGGTGAGGGTGAGGGTGAGGGTGAGGCCTGCTCCGCTCAGCCTCACTCTGCTCCTGGAGCCTGTGAGGTAAGCGGGGTTGCAGGGGGCTGGGGGCCCCTCTGGCAGGGCTGTGGGGACTTGGCCCCACCCCCACTGAGCAGGCAGCAGCAGTAAGAGAGCTGGCTCCATGCTGCTTCTGCTGCAGCTGCCTGCTGTTGGGAACAAGGATCTGCAGACTTGGGATCCTGGCAGCTGGGAGCCCCTCTGGCAGGGCTGGGGGGCAAGAGGCACGAGTAGGGCAGGGGGGCTGTTGTGGGGGCAGTGAGGGTCACCAGCAGTATTGGTGGGGAGGGAGGTTTGTGGGCAGTGAGTTGCACCAGCAGAGCTGGGGGCTTTTAAGTTTAATAATGGATTTGAGGGGTTTTACCAGGGAGTTTGCGATTTCTCGCCAGAGAATTTGTGAATTTTTTTTATCAGGGAAAACCAGGATCCCTGCTTATAAGCCTGACCTTTGCCTTGAAAAGTCTGCTGCAGTAGGGGCAGGAGAGTGATGAAAACTGGGTATGGGAGGTTCTTGTTTTCCTGGCCACCCTTTTCTTATATATATACACACACAGAGTGCATATTGAATACACATAAATATATATACAATATAAAAATAAAATAATGTTTATATATTTGCATATGTACATATATGTCTATATATATTGCGTGTGTATAAAATAGTAATAAATAATTACCATAAATAGTGACGTAGGTATTGTATAAGAACTACTCTAAAAGCTGGGGGTCCCCGTCCCTGGATTCGATCCGTCAGACAACCAGGCCCCAGCGGCTCCCCAGGAGCAGAAGCGAGGCGCCGCCCCCGCCGCCAGCTCCCGCGAGATGCCCGTAGCCCCGCCCGCCGCCGCACTGAGCCTCCCTCCCGGCTCCTTCTCCCGCCTTGCTCAGCAACCCCGTGGTAGCGGAAGCTGCGGAGCCGGGGCGAGCACTTCCGGGGCCGGGCGCCATGACGTCGCTGCGGGCCTTCACCTGCGACGACCTCTTCTGCTTTAACAACATGTGAGTGATGGGGCCCGCGCGTCATGATCCGTCTCCCCTCCTCCCGGCCGAGACGTTCCTTCCGGGACCCCGCCGCCGGACCCCCCGGGCCGAGCCCCAGCGCACGGCAGGGGCGGGGCTCCCTGCCCAGGTGACCCCCTCCACCGTTGGGCGCGGCGCGGCGCGCGGGGCTGGCCCCGCCCCCCACAACTGACACCCTCGAACCAGCCCTCCCCTGGGCGCTGTTGTAGCCATAGGCTATGCTGAGGGGGAGCAGAGGGAAGGCTCTAGGGATGGGTGGGGTACCCTGGGGTGAGCCCTTGGGTGCAAGCCCAGGAGGGATGGGGTATCCCTCCTGGGCTTGCAACTGAGGGCTCACCCCAGGCCCCCTCCTCTGGGTTATGGTGGGGGAGGAGCAGGGTAGGGTGAGAGTGTTGGGGACGGCACAGGGCTGGCAGATGCATCTGGATGGGAAAGGGGGCCTTTGCTGAGCATCCCAGGGCGGCTTTATACACCAAACCCTGGTGTATGAAAGGAATGTCTCCTCTGCCTGATGAAGGGTGTTTGTACCTGACAGCTTGCAAAGAAGAACTTTTCTACCTATTTTAGCTGGTCTAATACAAGAGACCATATTTACCCAAAGAACCTTGTCTGCCTAAAAGTAACCCAATCCTGTGAAGAAAGGTACTGGTAGCTCCTGGAGGACATGGCTGCGGGTCACAGAGGCTCAAGAGTTGCCCAGCCCTCAGCCAAGGGGTGTGAAGTCAATGCACATAATGGGAATCTCCACAGCTGCCCCCGGCAGGACCAAGCTCCTCACCAGAAGGGGCACACAGGGCACCTATGCACAAGTGAGAGGCTGCTCTGACACGCTGCAATTCCAGTGCGTTGGAGCAGACTCGATTAATTGAGTGTGCTGGAGCATGGCAGTTGCTATGCTCCAGCAGCCTTCCGTGTCTTGTGTATCAGCATTCCTCTGCTTAAAAATGGTGGCAGGGGGTGCTTAAACTAGAGGTTCTCAAATGAGCACCCCCACCGTCATTTTTAATCACAGGGACACTGATACAGGAGACGCAGCAGCACTTTAATTAGGCCAGCTCTTGGAGCTGCTCTGATTAAAGCACCTCCCCCTCCCACCCCCGAAGCATGTGTAAAAGTACCCAAAAGGTGCTGCTGCACCTGGACAGGAATGAAGTAGGAGCTGGCAGTTTCTACATGGGCACGTTGTGCCATCACAGCTATCTGAGGGGTTTCCTCTACCCCTCTTGGTGCACTTGACATGGGCCATTGACAATGGATAGATTGGTGGGGGGTGGCCATTTTGGCAGGTATGGCACACATTAGCCCCATGCCCTCCCTGAGTACCACTCCAATCCCCTTTCCTGACCAGTCTACTGCTTTGCTTTCTGCTCCCTGCCTGATCTGCTGCATGCCACACAGGCTGCCCATCCATGCCACTTGTGGCACATGTGCTGCAGGTTGGCCACCCCTGGAGTATATGGTGGTGGATCTGATTCAGGCAAACAATGTTTATAGCAGCGTAACTTTCTAGGGTTATTATTAACTCATCTACCAGTCTGGGGAGGAACAGCCTACCATTGTGGTTTCTGGTCACTGTCAGTTACTGTTTGAAGTGTGCGAAAGTGCTGAATGAGGATCTGAAGAAATACAAAAAGTAGCACTTCAGACATGTTCATGTCTTTCCCTGCTGTATCTCAGAAGCCTTCCTTTCCAGTTGGAAGTTGGAGTGATTTTAAAATACAGCCATGTGTGTTCTGGATTCAGAAAGAGGCTACTGGTGAAAAGTTTTGATGTGGAGCAGAGAGGGAGTCATGTTTTCCTGTTATAAGCTGGTATTAAGAGTAATGCTTGTAACCTCTAATGAAACAGATGACTTATTTATTCATTTTATGTCTCCAAAAGGAAAAGTCCACAGAATAAGGGAGTCGCATAGGACAGTTTTCTCTGAAAACTGACACTAGTTCTCTCCTAACCAGAAACTAAAGTGTCTGGAGAAAATTAGGAGAACCAAAACAATACTAAGAAAACAGTATGCTAAGACAGGGGTGTCAAACATACAGCCCACAGGCCAGGTCTGGCCCATGGAACTCTTTTATCTGGCCTGTCACAGCCTGCCACAGAATTTGGGTCCCTGGACCCCAGGGGACATGGTCATGAGTGACAGCCTCCCAGCTCCATCCTGCTGCCCAAATGTAGCTTCCTTCCACCACATGCTGTTAGACCTGTGCTGCTGCCAGCCCTGCACCACAGCACACCACATGCTCTGACCTGCTGCACTGCCACACATCCCTGGCTCCATGCTGCTCCCCATCTAGAGTCTCACGTGGTCACATGCTCCTGGCCCCATGCTAATGCCTGGCCAGAGCCCTGCACTACTATCTGCCCCCAGATCCATGCTGCCTCTTGGCCCCAGATCCACTCAGCTGCCTAAATGTGGCCCTGCTACAGTCACTGCTGGCCCTGTAGATCTGGCCCAAAAGTAGCCCCTGCAGTTCAGATCTGGCCCAGCCTACATTTGACACTTCTATTCTAAGAGAACAGGGAATGTGTTGCATAATTAAAGAATTGTCATTACCTTCAGATGCCATGTCCATGTGGACATAATGGTTCATGTGTGCAAAGATTCCTTCAAGTGACTAGACCTCTGTGGGTGAAAGGATTTGCCACATGGTTCAGAATGCAGGATGGCATCAATCCGCCTGTAGACTTTTTAATTTTAAAACTGGACAGTAGCTCTAAAGTTGTTATTGTATAACTGCTGTAGCTTCCATACAGACAGGTAATCATTCAGTACTGCACCTTTGGCACCAATGAGAGATTTGCTTTTTATAGGGTTTTAATATCCTGGAACTCTGTCATCACAAGATGTAAAATCTGTTTCCACTTCATTCTTCAAATACAAATAATATGTTTTGGCCTTCTTAAAGTTTAATCTCTCTTATTTTGCAGTAATTTGGATCCACTCACAGAGACTGTATCCTTACAATGTTAGCCTCAACAGCTTTGTTCAGGACTATTTGCATTACTGTTGCTGTTTGTTACTGCACTCATTTAATGTATCCATTAGTACTGTGTCCACTGAGCCTATTATAACAGAGTAATTTAATTAACTTGTAAGGTTTCTTTCCTGAAAATCATCTGCAATCTTCAGTGTCATTGGAAATAATGTTTAAAACCATTTAAATTGTATATTTCATAGGGGTGGGCCGATAAAGATTTTCATGGCCAATTATTAACCAGCCATATTGGCCAATATTGATCCAGTAGCCGATTTACAGGAATGCAGCCCAGCAGCTTGGAGAGTGGCATCCTGCCGGTAAG